AATATTTTGTTGTTGAATTTCACTACTATTGATTTGAGAACCAGATGCCATTTTTGTTTAATTAATTTAACTAATATATGAATTTATAGTTTTTATTTGTATTGGCAAATTTAATTAACATTTACACAAATCATGCGCTGGTTGTTCTTACGTCATTTGCGGTGCCCCCTACGCTGTAGGGGCTCGACCCAATCTCGCCGCGAAATTTGTAACGAACGCGCGCATGAATTATCAGCTCCTATCTGGTTGGTAAACCTAAATTACCCTTGTGTGCTATTTTCCTTACGGTCTGAACTGAATCACAAGGAAGAAACAGATATGTATTTATATAAAATTAAATCTTAAAAACGTTGAAACTAATATTTAATTAGTCAAGTTCGCTATAGGCTCCGGCCTGCGAACTCGACTGGCACCCATGGCTTATATCCTACTATACTGATTGTTATACGCTCGCCGCTTGGGCACATTTTCAGCGAAAGTGTCAAAGCTTTTTTTTCCGCTACAACATTTGTTACGATATGCCCTGACGCCTCGATGGCATGAATTTTGTCGCCTTTTAGGCCACGAAATTAATGCCTATCTTATTTCACGGCATATCTCACAAAGTTGAATCATTTCGATGGCATGAATTTCGTCGCCTTTTAGGCCATGAAATTAATACCTATCTCGTTTCAATTTACTGTTTACAAGTTTAGATTAAATATATGCATAAAGATTTATTTGAATAAAAATATATATACAGTGTAAAAATATTGAATTACAAATATTTATTTGAATAAAAATATATACAGCGTAAAAAATATTGAATTACAAATATTTGGTAAAATCATTTTTTGGATTGTTAATTGAATCTTTCCACATGGATGCTACTAATTTAACTGCTGCGTTATGATCTAATTCTGGATTATTTCTTTTAATTATTGGGAGATTGAATTTCATAAACCTATTATACGGTGATAATTTTTTCTTTTCATGCATGCTAATTGTTGCACCTTTTTTAGCTAATCTATCAGCATTCTTATTCTCGACCGCGCCTTTATGACCCGGAATATAGGTAAAGTAAACCTTGCCAATTCTGTTAGAAGTTAAAATATCAATTCTCTCAAAAAGATCCTTGTTCTTAACAACCACATTGCGTGATGTTTTCAATCACGCATTTTCCATATGTTGATCCAACTTTCAAACGCGTTAACCACATTCCTGCTATCGGTCCTAATCTCAAGTACCTTTTCTTGATTTTTGCATGTTTCAAGAGCACGAACTACCGCGTAAATTTCTGCATGATTGTTATCCTGAAATAAACCTTAGCATAGAAATATTTAGATAATTGTGGCATTTTTTAAGAAAAAAAACTAAAAGTATGCCCAAGCGGCGAGCATGCAACAATCAGTATAGTAGGATATAAGCCATGGGTGCCAAATAAGAGGTAGTATAATAGACGAAATAATTTCAAATATCATACAAGTTGGGATCTTTCTCTTACCTGAACAAAACACTTTTAATTTTAAATTTAAAAAAATGAGGTTTTTTGAACCAATTCATCTTTTTCACAGATTATAATATTTGTTTTAGATGGCAATGCCCATCTTTTTGCTGTTGGTGTTGTGTAGTTCTGTCCCATTTTTCACTGTTGTAAACAATAGTACCAAGACTGTTAAAAGGATATCTAGAAATCGCAGAATCAAAAATCTCTAACCATTCGAACCATTATCGGTGATATCATGTCCTTGCACTGGATCAGGCCCAATTTTTCCATGTATGTTGCGATGATATTGATCCCATTGTCACTTTGAACAACCTTTATCTCGTTGGCTAACATTCCGTTCATCTCTAATAATTTGCATATGATCGATTCGAAATCGTGACCAATCCTGTAATTTGAAAGCTGAAATAATAAATAAAAACGATCAGCACGAGATTCCTATTCATCGGTATTTGCAACATAGCCGTCTCGAAGGTGTAACTTCAATCTCTATCTCAGTTTTTTGGGAGATAATAGAACACGTCCTCGACATGAAGTGCTCAGAATGTGCTCCTATCTCCCTATAACAGCATAACTTCAGAATCACAAATACCGAGTGAAATGGCATGGCTATCTTACCTTTTTCAGAGTTGTCATCATTAATCATTCGCGTAGCTTTGTTCCGATTTGAAAAAAATTTTGTCTATCTGTTTTTTACACTCATCCCAAGTGGTGTATACACCCGGCTTGCGACCGGCACGAACCGCACAACTCTAATATAGAGTGATATAGTATAGAAAACATGCTTGTGACCAGTTACCGCGAGAGAGATAGCATACAAGGGTAATTTAGGTTTACCAACCAGATAGGAGGAGTGAGGTTAGTACAAAGTAAGGAAAACGAATGACCAGACGATGCATGGTTGGAGCCCCTCACCTTTAATATTTCAAATATAAATTACGTTTAATGAAAACGAAGGTTTATATAGTTTTTTAAATATGATAAAAATTATAGGAGCTGTTGAATTGTATTAATATAGACTGGATTAAATTTTTTAAAAAACGGTTAGCAAGAGATTTCTATTCATCTCTCACATAACAGGCTCAGTTTCCCACTGGAAATAGCACTCATCCTTGCATTTCTTGTAAAAAGAAATATCCTAGAATGAATTCCTTCCAATTTGAGACAGTGTAACTTCAAAATCTTATATTCACTAAGTAAAAGGCATGGCCATCTTACCATTTCCAGAGTTGTTAGTGGTCGCCGCAGTAGAATTAATTCTAGGCATCGTGGAATTAATTCTGGGCATCGTGGAATTAATTCTGGGCGTCGTGGAATTAATTCTGGGCGTCGTGGAATTAATTCTGGGCGTCGTGGAATTTGTAGTCATGAATGCTTTTTTTTTGATAAATGAGATCCACTATCGCTCCATTTGGGAACCTTCCCAAATGTCACGTCTTTTTTAAAAGAAATACTCACACCTCGAGTGACACAATTATTTAATAATAAATTTTATGTTAAAAAGGTTTCTTTATTATGTTTGAAAGATTTATAGAGTACAATTACGTCATTTACAGTCTTAAGAACCTCTAGAACAAAAATCTGTTTGTGTCTGCAATACTTGAAAGCAGGTCTGGTGATTCTAGTATTTCCCGCAACAAATCTAATATCATTTTTACCAATAATCCCTTCATCCAGGTCATCTTGAACAACCTTTTTCACATGTTTCAACTTTATTTTCTTCTTGG